TTTTTTTAAGAATAAATCTAATTGAGTTAATTAACCAAATCATAGATTTAACAAGTTAACTTTAATGTGATTACTACTACTTGTTGTGGAAGAGGTAAAAGATTAAAGATCAATAAAATAGAGAATGATTGTAAAATATCATGTCTTGTTTATAATTGCTTATAATTATTGTAATGAGTCATTTAAATTCTATCTAGTGTTGGTAGTTGCCTTTATATCTTATGTTAATCTAGTTTTAGAAATTATGATGTGAATTTATGGTAGTAAGGTCACTTCCTAAAAGCATTTAATTTGATTTTAGTTGTTAACGACGCTAATTATGTTAAAGATGATTTGGTTTAGCGGAATATTTAACATGTTTTTTATATTTAATCTCCTAATCTCATTGAAATCATCCATTTAAAAATAAACATTAATATAAGGCCATTTAATCTCCTAATCTCATTGAAATTATGATGGCATCACGAAATATTGGTTAAATGGATGAACATTAATACAAGGTCATTTTTGTTTTCTTTGCATTATGTTTTCTATTAAAAGATGTCATTTAAAGTATGTTTAATTTAGCCTTGTTATACAATAATTATTAATAGAACCTTACACCTAATATTTTATTGTTTGAGTCTTAACATTCAGTTTTTGCTATATTCTATATAAAAAAATAATAATTTTATTATGATATTTAAAATTTCAAAATATTGATAAACTACTATTGATATTAGAAATATTTATATATAAAAGCCCATATTCAAAATTACAAATAAATTAGATTTTTGTTCTGACTAATTGTTTAATAAGTTCTTATGAACTTCATATATGTGTGGTTAGTGTATGATACTTTAATTAAAACATAACAATACATTATATATTTATTTATTAATTTAGCTTTATAGATATAGAAGTTACATGGTTTAATGCTATATTTAAAAAAGACTTTGATAACAATTATAAAGATGTGAAGAAACATGTTGTTGATCATGTTAATTATGGTGACAGTGATGATAGTGGTGGTTTTAATGATGTTGATGATTATAATAATGGCGACAATAATAACAATGATAATGGTAAGGATGGTGAATTGTTCTCGAAGTGACAATTTGATCCTAAAAACTACTTGTATGCATAATTAGAGTTCTAAGCACGTATTATGTTAATTATATATATAAAAAACTATGTATTGTTTTCATTCAACACACATATGATATGATTGATTGAAATTTTAAAAGGATATTGGAAAAAATGTGTTCACATAGTTAGAATAGATATAATAATATTAACGAGCCTATAATATAATTTAAAAACATAGTATAACCTTTAAGAAAGATGAATGTTATTGAAAAGATGACCACATTTCTGTATACAATAATAATAGATGCTTTGAATAGGGAAGTTTAGGAAGTTTGTCAGTAAATATTTTAATGAAATCTTAAAAATAATATATTTATTGTTATAGATGTAAAAATACTAAAAGACAAAGAATTTAGAAACACTCCATGAGAAATTACGCTGAATCCAAAATATATACTCATTTCACAGTAACACAAATATCGTTTTTAATCATTAGTGTTGAATATAAATATTTTTCAAAATGTTATTAATTATTTTTAATTTGATATTTATTGTTTTTCATGTAGAATTATTTTGATGTGATTGACGGAATACATATGCATGTTTACACATCTCAAGAAAATCAAATTTTATTTATCACTATAAAAGGCATACCGATACAAAACATAATGGTTGCATGTTGCTTTGATATGAAATTCATATTTGTTTTGGCAAGATAAAAAAGCGATGCCCATGATACATATATTTTTTTTGGAGACTACTATAACTCTAATATAAAATTTTCTAAACCACCAAAAGGTAATCACATAAGAAAAATTAAAAGAAAGACTTTTATGTTATTCAATCCAATCTTATATGTACGAGCCTACCACCTTTTCTTTATTGGTTACTAACTCATATTAAAATTCACTATATAAACATTGGAAATTTTTTTTTTCAATATGAGATTAAAAGCCCATTAATAAATATACTCTATATTTATAAGAAAAAAATTATATTTTTTCAATAATAAGAAATATTTTTAGTTTAAATACTTTAACTTAAAAGAATAAAAAAATATATTTTCAACGTGGAATAATTTTTTTTTAAAATAATCTTTTAAAATTTATTATTTATAACACATATAACTTTCATTCACATGGATTGTTTTATATTTTTTTCATGTGAAATATTGAAACCTCAAATATTTTTTTAAATTTTTTAAGTTAACTTGGATCAACTAGTATAATCTAATACTTGATTTTTTAGCTAAGTCAACTCTTGAGTCAAGTTTTTTTAATTTTTTTAGATTAACTTGGATCAGCTAGTATAATCTAATACTTGATTCTTTAGCTAAGTCAATTATTGAGTCAAAATTAATAATTATAATTTAAATTATTTTTTATTTAATAATAATTTCAAACATAATTTAAATTTAACAAATATTTTATTTAACTGATTACATGTGTATATATATATATATTTTTTTTCAAAATGCAACAGTACACGCTGCCGAATACACTCTTAAAAGAGCTAGTTGCCCACTGGGAGAAACGGTGCAGACGGCGGCGTTTAAGATTTAAACAGAAAAAGGTAAACGGTAGCGTTTTAGATTTAAACAGAAAACTAACGGGGCGTCTTGTTCTGCTCATCTCCTCGTTTTGTCCAGGTGCCGCGCGCTATAACACCACCAGTGGTTAACCCAACCCTAAAGATCACAGCTAGCCAAATTATAATCATTCCAAAACTTACAGTAGCAGGCAGAGAGATAGGTTATTTGCTGGGAATCAGGCTGCAATGGCTGGTGATGGAAGCAAAAAATCTAAAGTATCAACAGCTCCACCTAGAAAAATCAATGTTCAAAAATTTGCAGAAACCCGGGCATCTGAACTGGAGAGTCTTCACTCAATCGTATCAAACCGGCTAAACAACAATTTCCGGTCTCAAAGAAACAAGAGAAGAAGAACCACTGCTTATGAAAATCAAGCTGCGAAAAAGAGAAATCGAAAGAGACGTAATTTAGGCCTCCTCGGTAAAGCCAATGATGACCTGTCTTCGGCTTCAGAAAATAAAGAGCCAAGGAAAGTCCCTCGCCGAGTTCGCAGGAGAATTGAGCTGAAAAAGAATCCAGAATCTGGTTTTGCTACTTCTGGCGATGGCACCAGGAGATTGAGAACTCACGTCTGGCATGCCAAACGTTTTACAATGACTAAGCTTTGGGGATTTCACCTTCCTCTTGGTTTGCACGGCAGGTAATTAGGAAGTAAGGCTAACTTATTCTGATTATTTTGGGAATTAGTTAATAATTAATGATGTATTTTGTGTGGTGCAGAGGGAGGGGATCCAGGGCTCTATTGAAGTGGTACAGAGACGGAGCGGTTGTGCATGATGCAAGCTACCATACTGCTGTCCAGTTGGAGGGTCCAGAGGCAGGCATTCACTCTTCTGTCAAGTTAGCAAAATAATTTTTATTTATTTGCCATATTACATGTTAGAGAATAAGCATTGTCTATATCAAGCTTTGTGGCGCATTTTTTATTCCTCCATTGTTGAATTCATAATCTAAATAGAGATGATACGTTGTGTTATGTCCAGGAGTCATTAGTTTCAATTCTAAATATGGTACTAGTGCCTTCTCCATCAGCTCAATCTCGCGATATTGCCAAGTCTATTCTTACCGGTGTTATCTATGGCACTGCTATGGTAGGTTAGCCCATTGCAAACCACTGTGAAACAAGGATAGCTTAAGTATTTGGATATATAAACTCTTTGATTTTTTCTCAGCTGCATCATGCTGGAGCACCTGTTTCTCAGCCGATAGCTCCTGTGAACTATATGTGGCGACCTTCTTGTCTTCGCAATAGAGAAAATGGCAATAACGAACATAGTTCTGGTGGATGTAATGAAACTCAAATCTCTGATGCTTGTTCTTCCCATCGTCAACTTTGGGTGTGGATACATGCTTCAGCTTTTAGCGAGGGATATGATGCTCTGAAATTCGCTTGTCAGAAACAGGTACATGGTCAATCTTCTGTTCTCATGTGGAAATTGCATGTTTTAGTGACATTCTGGCCAAACCTATTATAGATCTATCTGGTGGCTTGCCACCCTTCCTCAAAAGGTTTTTAGGAACACTTTTTGCTTTGAGCTCACTGATTTTTGGTAAAAATTGTCTGTTTGTCTTTTTTTTATTTAATTTATATATTAAACTGTAAAACTATGTTTCTTTGGGATGCAGCTTATCATTCTAAACATTTAGTGGATGAAGAATATAAGGTTCTGTACAAAAAAGGCTTTGTTAATGTGCTCTTAATATGCTAACTTCTAAACTTCCTGTTTTTTTTTTTTTTTTCTACAGATGAATGAGAGTGGCATTTTGATCAATTGTTTGTCACTTGAAGGCCAGCTTGCAAAGTTAGAAGTAATGGGATCACAGGCATCGGAACTTTTACAAAAGACATTACATCCTTTTTCTTGGTGAGCAACTCAAAAGTACAATTAGATTATTTTGAATCAAGATAAAAAGTAAAAAATGGCTAAAGGTGCTTATCGTGTGCAGTAATTCAGATAATTCTTGGCAATTGAGGAATTGCTCTGTTTTAGAAGTTGATGGTGACTCTGAGTTGAAGAAATCTATATTTCAAAGCAAGAACTTTTCTCCTTGTTCAGTTTTATCTCTTGCTGTCAAGGATCCTCGTTCACTGCCTGTAAATATTGCTGACATTCCCAAGCCAACCCCTACTAGTGTACTCAATAATTTTCCAGAAGATCAAGCAACAGAGCATGATGCCTTAACTGTAAATTTTGGAAATGGTGAAAAACATCCTCACTCATTGCTTTCAGAACCTGAAAGGAGTAGCAGTGTCCCTGACAATAGGAGTTTGTGGGATGCAAGCAGCAGAGTAACTCCCCCAGTGGAAGAGAATGTTCTTTGCTGGGAAAGGCATCATTTGCGTTTGGATTTTATCTGCCTTGATGGTTGTAAATCAAGGACACCGAATACTTCAACTAAGGTGCAGGGTTCAACATCTTGCCCTATTCTGCTTCTTACAAACAGTAACGGAATGGACTCACTGATGCGGTAATTCCACTTTCCAGGTTCATTCTTCCATTTGGCATAGCTCCAATTATGTTAATTGCTGCAGTTTATGCCTTGAAACCTAGGTTGGACATATTCATGTACCGCTTTTTTACCTTGGTATTTTTCCCCAAATATGGATACCTTCTAAGTGGTATCTTGTGAGCTAATAGATGTAACCTGCAGCTAAGAATAGCTAATAGATGTAACCTGCAAGTAAGAATCAAATTGCATGATCAGGACCTGCCTTTACTGTCACAATGTTTCTTTTTCTTTCAGTAAACAAATTTTTTCTCACCCTGCACAAGAGTAGGAAGAAACACTGTCCAATTCCTTCATATGTGAAACCGTGAACTCATTGCTCACTTGTTTTTAAGAATAAAGCAGAATGAAGAAATGCTTAAGATGATGAGAAGTTTTTGGTGGTAGCTGTCTTTTTAAATTTTTATTCCGATGTTATTGTTGTGCCGGAGTAGTCATGAATTAAGGAATTAAATTCACAACAACCCCACCGCCCCCAAATGGAGTCCCAACCCGTCCCTTATTTTTCCTTGCTCCTTTTTCCCATCTTGGTTATATTTTGGGACAATTTTAAAGCCCTAAAGCTGTGCACTGAAAAAATCCCATGCATACATAGAGAAAATCGCCCTTGATATTGCCATTAATTATAATGGATTCCATCGAGTCTGCTTGGCTGACCCTATTCAATGAGTTCATTTATTTTATCATCAATTCACACTTTGAACCTGCAGGAGCTTATTCCTATCCCTGCCCAACTCTTTGCCCCCTGAACCAAAGCCCAGGTCTAAAGTAGTTCAAGTTTTACCTTGTTATGCCTTCATGGGCCAAATCAGAATCACTTTTGACAAGAGAGTTTGGAATGAATTGCAAATATTTTACACAGGATTAAATTGTGAAGTGGTTTATGATAGCTTAATTACACCATTCAGATCAAGCAATTTAGAACTTGCTCTCTTCATTAAAAAAAAATTATTCTCTGCTCTGCCATTAATTACATCTGAATATATAAGATTTACTTGCTCATTGCCTTTGTACCTTTGCCATCTCTAAATGTATGCTGTCATGGCCTTTTTATGTGAATGGGCTTTAAGACCTTATTAGAATCTGATAAGCACTTCCTTTTCTTTCAGATGGTCTGTTATACTCCCCTTAAGCTGGGTTAGGGTCTTCTGGATTCCTTTCGTCTCCAAAGGAGCACATGCAATAGGTCTGAGAGAAAAGCGATGGATTGCTTGTGAAGTATGCATAGTTGACAACAGTACAGTTTTCCATACAATGTTGCAAAATCATGCATGCTAATTTTCTAGCCTTTGCAGGTTGGGCTGCCACAATTTCCTTCTGATTTTCCTGATTGTAATGCGCACTTATCTTTTATGGTGAACGAAAGTGCTGCCCTTGACCACAAAGTGGAACAACTACCTCCTTCTGTAAGACCTCTGAAAGTTCCCATGCCTTTCCCATGGAATAGTGTCCGTCTTGCTCTTGATAAAGGATCTGCTATAGTTCAAGATCCTCAAATTTCTGGTCGAAAAGATAACATTGATGACAATTCATTATTGAGCTCAGAAGATGGGGATTGTGCAAAAACAGCAGCCACTGGTCATTGTAATTCATTTGATGGATTTGTAGGACGGACATCCAGTATACTGATTGATTTCTTGAGTGAAATCCATGCCAGTCATTTGCTTTTGTTTCCTCACATTCCAAATAAGAAGACAAGGCTTTCAGAGCTTATGAAGGATGAAAGCATCCTCAGTAAAGGTCAATGTAGTGCCCACCAAATCACTTCTAATCGTAGATTGTGTTTCATTAGAGTTCTTCTACATGCATACAAGGAAGGTTTTTTTGAAGAAGGAGCAGTTGTTTGCGCTCCCGGTCCAAGTGATTTATCCATGTGGATTTCTAGGTATTTTAACAAAACTTTTCTCGTCTTTTCCCTTTTCTCACTGATGATAACTGCTTTGCTCTCTTTGACATCAACAATTTCATCATCATTCTTTGAGCTTTGTACTCACAACTGTTGGATTTATAATTGGAAAAGATGATATAAAGATATTTGTGAAGCTTCAAGAATATTTATTAGTATCTATGTTGAACCAATGGAGCAAGTTGACTCCAGTATGGTTTATGAAGGATATAATTCTTGAGAAATAACACGAGTCCTTGTTTGGCATTTCTTAAGGTCCATCACACTTGTGAGCTAATATCATCCACTTCTGTTGTATGCTGCAGATCAGAAAATAATGAAGGTGGACTTCAAATTTCCCAGTCATCTGTGGGTTCATATTTCAAAGAGCAACCTTCTAGTGAGTGGGAACTCTGGATACCGCAGGACCCTGTGGTAAGAGAATCTCATAGATGGCCTATTGGTTTTGTCACTGCTGGATTTGTTCGAGGGAGGTTAGTATGATAAGCTCTTGTGCAGCACATATATTGACATTTCTCTTCCAATGAAATGTGCAGTTTTGTCTGTGGTGGTTAACTCAGATTTGTACCTTGCTTGCAGCAAGAAGCTAGTGGCTGAGGCTTTTTGTGAGGCAGTTTTGCTAGCTCAGCTTAGGGAGGAGCAGTGGAGTGGGATGCCTGTGAAGCAAAGGAGGAAGGAAATATATGTCCTTGTTAGGAACCTGAGATCTTCTGCATATAGACTCGCCCTTGCCACTTTAGTCCTGGAACAAGAAGAAGAAGATGTGGTATTCTTGTGAGATGGTTGCGCCGGTGGGTTTTTCATATCCATAAAGGTGCTTTATCCTTGCTCTCTAGCTTAACTATAGGTAACACAGAGAATTTTACTGGAGTAACATACTGGTCATCATGGTGTTGTTTTCATCAATGTTGATGAAAGGAAAAGGAAGAGAGGAGCAACAATACTTCACCCCGGCAAAACAAGTATTTGAGGTGCATCTTGTAACATGAGAGTGGGCGCAAGTGTTGGTAATTTATTATTGTTATTTTGTTTTGTTTTGATCGGTGTCCACTGCACGCCAGCTGTGAAGTATTGATTCCAGTTCAGTTTCTGCAATGCAATTACGCCTCGCCCGTTTGGAAATAAAATTTATTTATTTATTTATTTTTGAATCATTTTCATATGTTGATATTTAAAATAAAAAATGTATTATTTTAATATATTTTTTAATAAAAATATTTTAAAAAATATTTTTGTTTTGTTTTTATGTGTGTGCTGCTATTAAAAATAAAAAAATAAAAAAAAATTGTTGTGATGTATTTTTACTTTTATCAGAAACCATTCTTTCATAGTCTCCGCTTAAACCAAGTAGCAAACATGAATGTATATGTTCAAATAGCCTGGCAAACTTCCAAAACTTATACTAGCAACTCTTTTAATTTACTCACCATGTATGATACTGCAACATCTTGCAGCTTCATAGCGAGAAATCCGTGAGGCCCTATAGAGTTTGAGTAAGATTTGAGTTTGTCAGGGAGTGCGTGGAGTTGTTATTGTTTTTTAAAATGTTTTTTTGTACTATAATATATTAAAATAATTTAAGATATATAAAAAAATTTAAATTAAAAAAAAAACTTTTTATTTAAATTTTTAAAAAACACAACACAAACGATACCAGAGCCACAAGACCAAACTCGAAAGTCACGCACCACAGATCAATATTCTGGGCTCATGTACAATTAATTAAACCAGGCCCATGTCCTAGTTTGGCCCAATCAGAGCCTCTCTTGCATTGCCTGGTGGCTCACATAAATTCCGAGACTTTGAAACAAAACTTCAAAACCAAATCGAGCATCTTTTCGAAGCAGAGAGAATTCACCTCTCAAACAGGTACCGCCTCTCTCTCTCTATCTATTCAATTTTTTTTATTAAATTATTTTCATAATGGTTTCAATCTTTTATTGCAAAATAAAATAAAAATAAAATAGTATGAATCTGTTTAGATCGTAGTTGCTGTTGACCAATCCATGATGAAAAAGAAGAAGAAAATTGTTTCAATTTTAAAATCTAAGTTAAATATTTGCCTTTTTTTTATAAGGAAAATATTTATCTATAGTCTGCTTATTTTCAGTAAATTTATACAAAACCAACCTGTGGCGATTTGGAGTATAGGGAGTTGAAGATGGGAAGGATCAAACCTCAAGATCTCTTACAACAGAGCAAAAAGAAGAAAGCTCCGAGTCGAATGAGCGTCACTGCTATTGTTTCATACTGCCTCATTCTTCTCTTGACTTTATTTTTCTTGTATTCTACCTATAGACACTGGTCGCTAAGGTCTGTCAAGTCATCAGATTGATTCTTAATCCTTTGTGTTGTAATAAATTATGCTTAATTTTATAGTTTGGATGCGCCAAACTAGCTGGATCTGGATCTGTATTTTTTAAAATATTTCTCATTGTGGAGATGCAAGTTTATTGTGTGTTGATTGTCAACTTGGATTATGCATCGCTCTCTTTGGCTGTTATTATACTCGGTGTGTTTTACCAATTGAGGGAATTCTCAGGTGGTAAATGCCTGTATCTATGTTTATGGAAATGAAGGTATTTGAGGCTTGTGTTTTGGTCAAGTGTGCAGACTGAAAATGCTGAATCGGGTTTTGGGGTACATTTTGTAGAGAACCTTTTGTTTTGATGGTTACCGTGGTCTTTTTTTTTATTCCCCTCTACTACCTATTTTTCTATAGAAGTTTGAAATATATAGGGCCATTCTTGTGGCATGCTAAAGTTCTTGGGCTTGCTACTGTAATGGTGTTGGTCTGAGCCTTGAGAGCAGCGCCTCATGTAAAAGATGTGGAAGGTTTGTTTCAGTCTTACCTCAAAGAACCTGACTTCGGGGTGGGATCATGATTGGATAATGGCCTTTAAATCCCAGATTTTTGACTGGTATATACGACATAATCATTTGTAAATTGTTGTAAAAACGATAGTGCAAGATTGGCTGACTTTGCATGTTGATGCATGCGTTTCAGAATTTTTATCTTTGCATGTTGATGCATGCGTTTCAGAATATAAGCAAGAGCTTGATTTTAATCTGCCAGACTCTAATTTTGCCTGGTTTTGTCTGCTGTATGTTGGTCATGCTTTTGTTGATTCAAAGAAATATGATCTCCCTGGATATGCAGTATGTCTTTCTGTATGCTGAGCGATTTTAACTTTTCTGCTTTGTTTTGTCGAAAGGTTTTGCAAAGCTTATCCTTATATAGTCCAGTATAGCCTTTACACTGGAATTTTCTTCATAGCATTAGATGACGATATGTAGTGCACTGACTGTAATGAACTCCTTGCCTAAAACGAATGAAACATGCCCGCTGGGTGTACATGCATTAGACATTTATATTCTCTAGAAGAAATGCACCTAAAGAACCTTTTTTTAAGAATGCACAAAATAACTTTGTTTTCATTTGGCTAGTTGGAATCTTAGTTAGGTCAGATAGTATTCTTGCTAGCTCTGAGTTAACATGCTTCTCACCGAGTTATATTGGTAAACTGGATAACTCTGGCTGTTTGTTTTGAAAGACTGGTAAAAAACCTAGATTGATAGGTGCCTGGTTCTTATTTGGAGATTCAGCCTTGTTTTTCATGGCATTGTCAATGAGTTTCAGCTTAGTTACGACCACTGTTCCTGCTGGCGATGATGATGCTACTCATTGCTATAATAGCACTCCACTCTGTAGTGCCATTAATTATACTTGTAATGGCACCATTGAGCGAGTGCTATTCTCAAATATGGAGTGGCAATATTCTAGTTGGATTCATGAATAGCTCTTCTTATAGTCGATGTCATCAATGGTCCTGAAATTTGCCTTTTGTTTAAAGTTGGAACCCTCCTCACATTTGAACATGACTATACTATTTTGTCACTATTTTCAAAAGCAACACTTTACATTCCATTCCACTATTTATATAGTTGATAATACTTTACAAGTGAGGTGCAAGTGAACTTAACCAATGAAAAATTTCAAATTTTTTTAAAAAATATCTTTAAAATTGATTTAATATCCAAAGTACTTTCATAATTTATGCATCTTCTTTTTTTTCCAACAAAAAATGAATTAAGGTAGCAATATTTGAATTGGGAATTTCAATCTTGGATCTATATTGCCCTATGAAAGAGAGAGTTTCAATATATTTTTTCTATTATTGAGAAATTGTTTAGAAGAGAGAGAAGGGATGACTTCTTTAAAGAGAGAAAAGAGAAGAGAGAAGAGAGGAGATGTTTAGGGAGAGAAAAGAGATGAAGAGAGAGAGGAGAAAGAAGCAAAAGGAGAAGAAAGGGGAAAAAGAAAGAAGGCGAAAAAGAAGAAGTCAGACATATTTTAAGCTTTTCATCAAAATATGAATTTGATATTGGCTCCGTAAGTAAAATGTAATTTTTAAACAGATGGAGGCAATGTATTATCGTGCTCAAATGTCTAGAGTATTAAAGCAGGTTTTTTTCTTTAAAATATTATACGGAGAGACCTATTTGTAAAGTTTGAAAGCTTACAAGGTTCTTTATTGGAATGCATAAGGTTTCATCAATAGGCATCTTAGCTGAGGCATTTACATTTGAATTATTCCATAAGGAACTCATCTATGCTTTAAGAGGGTTAAGATCCAACTTGTAAGTTAGAACGTAACTTGGGAAATTCACTTTGTACTTGGGAGACTGAGCAAAGGACTATTTTTTTTTACGAGTATTTTTCTCGTGCCATCTTGAACGCCTACCATAATATGGAAGCACTGCGTGGCTTTGTGATATGGTTTCTTTGTACCATCATATCAAGGTGCAGCCTGGTTGCTCTTTCACCAGCTCTCTCTTGGCTTTTCTTTTTATGGATTCTGTCTGTTGTTATTATTTTCTAGAGCAGGGTAATCATAATGCTTGGTATTCCTGTTGCAAATCACAATGGTCAATTTTTTTTTGCTCTTTGTTCATGCTTTGGGGTGTGGGATGGAAGGAATTGCAAGGTGATGTAGGACAACTTGGAGGGTTCGGTTATGCCAAAGGAAATTTAAGACAGCTTTTTAAGGTATCCTGCTGCAGAATGCTTGATAATGTGTCTATAGTCTCATGATGTAATTATTGTTTAATTGTTCGTATTTTTATTTATGAAGTAGATACATCCACTAGCCAATTGGTTGAGGTTTGGAGTATATGGTATAAGCTTGATGGCCCCTACTCCATAATGCAACTTCGGGATAAAATTGTACATTTTCTCCAAATTAGAAATTGTTTGTGATAGTTAATTTTCTATCAGAAATCTTCTTCTCTTTTCTTTATACTTTGATTTATCTAATACTGGCGCATAAACAACTTCTTGGAACAAAAAACTGTTTTCAGACCTCTGATTTAATTGGTTTTGCAGTGAAAGGAGGTGCGTTTTCCATCGTGTAATGAAGCATTATGTAATTCAAGCAGTGGATGGTGGTCTGCTTGGGGATACAGAAGACTAGACTTTGAGAGGGAAGCATTATAGTCAACTTGATACGTGGTTACTACTTACTAGCTTGAATTTTATTTTCTTTCGTTTTTCTTCATTCAATGGTTCAACAGTATGTTTCCCGAAACTTTTGAGGTGGTGGTGTATTTTGTTATTCTTTGATCAGTTTGAAACATGAGACATTCATGTTTGGAGCTTCTAAGACAAAGCATGATGACCGAGGATTTGAACTTTTAATTACAACTGCACCAATCCCAGATCCCAGTGAAAAGCTTATGGTTCTGGACGGGTAATTGTTATGTGTAAGTAATAACGGGAGAAGATGTTGTTCAGGTAACGGACTTCAACATCCTTTTGGTTGTCATGACTTGTCTTCTGGGAATTTATATCAGAATCTTCTTTTTTCACTAAACAAGCATTATACTACCAGGAAACTTTACTAAGTTGTAGTGACCAGTATTTTGAAGATACTACTGTGGGGGGCTAATTGCTCCTGTAGAACCCAGAAACAGATGGATTATCTGTTGGATGATTTTTTGAAAACTTACTTTGGAACTGATTCATGCAAGACCTTCAGTTGTAAGAGTTTTATTTGTGGTCAATGTTGATTGTAGTTTTTAATGTTTGTCAGGAAATTGAAGAGAACCTACCTAGATCTCATGCTGGGATCGTTGATGTGACTTGAAGGCAGAAAATCTAAAAGCTGTTGTGCTAATCCGAAGCTTTTCCATGCTGCCTTGGTCCTCTATTCCGGATTGTGTTTTACCAGTCAAACTTGCCATAGGGACAGTGGTGCATTTTGGGATGAGTCACATCCCATTAGAGGGCACAGCCATGATAATTTGCGTGATTTGCGAGAATACTGAGTCAGTTCTGTTCTGGTAATTTAATTTCTCAGGCTGGATGGTACAAATTTTACGATGAATAAAGGATGGGACAATTGAAGACTCTTATTTTGCCGCACTGAACCCATCTTATTGATAACCTGATAGGTATTGTTTGAAAAATCCACGCTATTAAATTCAAAATCAGTAGCTAGAAGGTTTTTTTTCTTATATATATATATATATATTTATTTATTTATAGCCGGAAGGTAGGAAATCAAATATCAAATATGTAATTGGTAGTTATTTGATTCCAAGATAAAATTTAAACCTTGATTTAAATTCATTGGTTTCATTCTGACATCATTTTTCAGAGGCTTGGGCGTTACCATTTATGAATCATATATTGTGATATTTTTCTACCTTTATCCGAATCCAAGGCATCTTCCATCGACTGTTAGGATTGGATTGTATACCGGATAATAATGGTTGGACTGGATAAAATTAGACAAGATAAATAATTATATTGTCTCATATTTAGTGTGTTTTAGACTGAATTAGATAATTTATTTTATTTTGTGTTTGGTAAACACTGAATGAAACTGCAGTGACATGAATTTGGATAAGTGTGAGTTTAAAAAAGAAATAGAAGAAATATTTAAAAATCGAGTTGACTAACCACATCAATTGGGTTTTGTTCCTGCAGTAAGATTGGGAATCATTTGAAATGCCTAACACATGGATACCTTTAATATCAATTACATTATCTCTCGGAGGTTTCAAATTGTTGGTCACGGGAAGCATCTATAAAATCCGATTGAATGTTATATAAATGGCTAAATTCTAGCCATTTCTTAATTCTGGCTTCTCTGAAGTAAGCCTATTTAGGAGAGACCCTTTCAAGCAAGTTCTCGAGCTCAGGGTTTATTTCAATATTATCTTCTTCCAACCTCTGCCGCATCTCTGGAGCCAATCTGCCAGCGGCTATGTAAGTCTTTAGCAGCAAAATGTAAGCATTAGAGTTCAGACGATTAAGCTGCTTCCACATCTTGCATAGTCTCTCAGCACCATCAACATCTTTCTCATCTTCAAAATAATTCAGAAAAGCACTTACTGTTTTCTGATCTGGTTGCCATTCAATCTCCTTGGCTTCGGAAAATGCTGCTTTCATGTGCTTCAGAGCCAAATCCGGTTGATGGTTCTTCAAGAAGAAAACCATGAACATCTCCCGGGCCTTAAAGAATAGTCCTTTGGTCCTCTTAAGAGCTTCATCAAATATTGATGCTGCTTCTTTATACATATCACGCTCTAGGCAGGCTCTTATAGCGACATTTGCCAACCTCATATCATAACTGTGGCAACTGGACTCCCAATCCTTAAAACACTCCAGTAGACCCTCGACATCTTTTAATTTAGCAAGAGCCTGGAGCACGTTAAGATAACTAATATTGGTTGTTGTGCGGAAGCTTGACTTCAGTGAATTCCACACACGATGGACCTCACTTAGATTAGAAGTGCCAGCATAAAGAGAAATCAGAAAATGATATGCTTCACGGTCAGCATCATGTCTGCGTTTTTTCTGAAAATCACAATCGCGTCCACATTCTATCTGCTCCTCTAATTTTCTAAGAGCTGATTCAGCTTTGTCAAAAAGTCCAGCCTTGATATAGATTGTAGCGAGGTTACTGTATGTAGTCCAAGAAAAGTTCTCTTTGCCATCCATTTTCATCTCATCTAGAACTCTCTGTACTCCCTCAAAATCGTTCAAACATCCATAACTCTGCATCCAGATATTATAAGTGAAGGTGCCAGGAGATACGCCCCTCTGCTTCATCTCCTGTACTATGTCGAGCACCTTCTCAGGTTGGCCCAATCTCATATGCAGGGTCATGAGATTGCTAAAAGGCATAGAAGTTGAAAGAAGCTTCATTTTGTCCATTTTTTCAAAAAGAGTCAGTGCCTTTTCAGACATAAG